TGTTTATTAAACATCTTCTATATTCTGAAACCTGTGAAGTTATTTTTACATTGCTGCCAGGCTTGCAAATTTTAATTGTGAGCTTGGATGCCACCAGTAGATCACCTACTGCAGCCAGTCAGGTACAACTGCAGAAGTTCACTTAAAAGAGAAGAAATCCTTGATAAATTCCTGGCCAAAGGGGAAATTATGACACTTTTCTGATTTAAAGGTGCTTTATGTAGTCGATGGGTAATAAGTATTAACTTGGTTAATATATTAACTTGGTTCTATACAGTAACAAGAGGTTTACCTAAAGGTGTTAATGCAAAATGGTTCTTTTTAAAAAAAAATAATATATGAAACACAGGCTGTCATAGTGGGGCCACTCCTGTTGTTAAAGATGTACAGATTACAAGACACTGCCAGGTATTCTGCATAGTAATGTTCAGGGTTTATGTTTATCTATGAAGAGCAAAAATAACCTTGTTTACCAGCAGGTATTTTGAGTTAGTAATTCTCAATAATTCTATACCAAGGTGCTGACATGATGAAGAGTGATGGAATCTATTCAAGATACTTTACTTCTTTACAAGGCACTGGAAGATACAGCCTAAAAGTGAAGTCTCATGGGAGAAATGCAACCACCAGTCTTAGACTAAAGCGAAATCAAGCCTTGTATAATTCAGGCTACAGAGAAAATGGTATGGAGAGTTTATGAAACAGACAGTTCTTTGTCTGTTTGTATGTAGGGGTGTGTAAAGGTTAGCAAATGAGATCATTTGGATTCAAAAAATGGCATTTCATCTTAAAAGATGTCCCATCTATTATATTAAAATTTAATATTTTTACACTTTTACATTGTGAAATTTAGAAAAATCAGGATAAAAATTGTCTCAAACCTCACAAAGTACATTCTATATAACCAATATATGCAATATGGGTAAAGAGATGGATGAAACTATCTTACTGCACCCTTGGCTCACCAGCATCTGCAATCTGCTTTACTGGTTGCATCATTTCTAATTTTTACACGTTTCAGACTTTGTCTGGTTTGGGGGGTTCCTAAATTTTATGCTGAATTACTTCACTAATTTTCCACTATATTTGAATAAGCTAAAGAAAATGTGTAGGATGAGAAGAGATAATAAAAATGAGAAGAAAATGCAATTCAGAATTCTGTCACAATGAAAGTTGAAAAATCTTTTAAAAAGGTAAAATTTACATGACTGCACCAAGACCTGAATTTGCTGATGAAGAAATCCAAGTCCAGCTGGGAAGTTTCAGCAGAATTTCAACAGGTTCTTTCGTAGTGAGTACGGGAGATCCTGCTCCTATTTATCCACCCTGTAAAGTTACAGACCTTCATGCTCGTATAGAAAACAGAACAATAGTGTTGTCTTGGACAGCTCCAGGAGGTGACTTTGACAATGGAAAAGGTGAGTGAGACACTACATTGCTATGAGATGAGGTTGATATTTTTATTTGGAAGGACGCACCCTCAGAACCAACCCTCAGAACCTACCTGAAAATGTAACCAAACAGAAACTTACCTTATTGCATAGTACCTGTTTCAGTTCTCCTTGTTTTTCATGTTAAAAAAAACCCTAAACAGCCAACAAGTAAACCAAGGGATAGTATAAGCAAATCAAATACATAAAATTGTAGTACAACCACTAGAGACTTTAGCAGTCTTAGTCCATGCCTGTGCATAACGGCAACATGGAAGATACAAATCTGTAGTCTCTTTTCAAAGATGTAAAAGGACCACTGATAGGCAGTAATGTTCTATCCAAAATACTCCTTTTAAGGTTGTTGCACAGGAAAAATGAAAACTAATTCCAGATGAAATGTACAAGCATTTCCTTGCGTAAACCAGAGACTGTATGTTAAAATCTACAGTCCACAGTTGTGCAGATTACAGTTTCAGATTAAAACCTTACATTTGTCTAAAATTTTTAATAGCCATACAAGGAAAAAAAAAACCAACCAAAAACCCCAAATCTCAACTTATTTCATTGTTATCCAGCAACTCTATGTCTAAAAAACTTTTATCCTAAAACTATTGCACTATAGTTTAAGATAGCAGGTCTACACGGTATGTGAACACGCAGGGACGGTGACTCCAGCACTGCCCTGGGCAGCCTGATCCAATGCCTGAGCACCCTCTGGGGGAAGAATTGTTCCTAACCTCCAGTCTAAACCTCCCTTGGTGCAGCTTGAGGCCATTTCCTCCTGTCCTATCTCTTGTTCCTTGGGAGAAGAGACTGACCCCACCTCCCCGCATACCTTGTGCTGAGTGAGAATACAGACCAGATGCAAAGCTTATCCCTGCTATCTACAAATATACAAATATATTTTAATTACCATTTCATCTTATGTTTGTATTTGGACAACACAGTTTCTCATTCAGCTACATTTTGCACAGATCTGCACAAAACTAGGAGTGTTGGTGAAATCATATCTTTAAGGCACATTCAATTTCAATTGAGGAGTTCCTAGACCCAGGCATGATAGACTTTTGACAATAAGGCTTAGAAGCAAACTTGCCAATGCTCCATGCTGAGTAATTGTCAGTAGTAAAACAGGATTCATTAGCACATTTTTTTTACAAAATGGCTCTAGAAGTACTATACTGTCACTGCAAGAAAGGATGTGAAAACATTTATACTTGCTTGCTATTAACATGTTTTTTTCTCCCCCTAGCTGATCACTACATAATAAAAACCAGTGAAAATCTTCTGGACCTAAGGAATAACTTTGATCGTGCTACTTCTGTGAATTGCTCTAATCTCATACCTAAGGAAGCTGGTGGAGAAGAATCATTTGAAATTCAACCAGAAAATAAAACAGAAAATGGCACCAAAATCTACTTTGCTATATGTGCTGTTGATGATACCAACTTGATTTCAGAGGTGTCTAATATAGCGCAAACCACATGGTTCCTTCCTCCAAAAGCATTTGTGCCTTTAAATCATCAAGGCAGCACTAACGGTGCCAACACTGCAGTAACAGTGGCAGTAGCAGCTCTGTGTGTAGCAGTTGTCTGTACTATCATAAATTCAACTCTCTATGCTTTTAGCAAAAAGAAGGGAAGACTGGAGATTGAAAAAATGCAAAGGCATGTGTAAAACAAAATGAAAAAATAGAAGGAATTTACCGCAATTTTTGCTACACAAGTTTCAAAGTAGGGAAAGAGGTATTTGTACATTAAAAAAATAAGAGCACTGATTTCCAGCAGATGTATTTGTCTTTTCTGATAGGCTTATAGATGTAAATGTTCAAAAGTATCTCATACTCAAGTACCTGTACACTGATTAAATGTTAAACATGAAAGCATGTACTCGGAAATATAGTAAAGTATAATATATGTACTGTCATTTGTTTCTAGGTGATAAAAATATTCAACTCTTCTGTTGCAATATTTTTCCAATGTAATGTGGCTTTTTTTCTTAAATAAAGAAGGCAAAGGAATATGAGACGTCCCTTATTCTTATTCTCCACATAACAATCAAGTAAGGCAAGGTGGTAAAAAGATCAGAAATACCATCAGTTAGTGCAACGACATCCTATTTTCCAACGAATTCCACGTTTTCAGTTAGGTTTTTTGAGCTGAGAACAAAAATATGTACCTCAAGGCCGTTTATTTTTCAAAAAATATTTTAAAATATGTATCTCCAAGCTGATTATTATATTTTTAATATTGAAGTATGTCTACCTATAGGTGTGTAGAAGAGTTGAGTATATAAATATTTCCAGAACGAGAGTTGCAGAATAAATGCAAATGAGCACATGGAAAATGTTCCTATATTCATCTCTTAATGAACTTTACTATTGGATATGTTTTCACATCTAAAATTCCATTTCCCCAAACAATAACAACATTGTAATTTTAGTTCCTATCAAGGCCAGAATAGCTGTAACATTTTAGAGGACAGAGACCCCTTTGGAGAAGAGTCAGAAATCAAACCATTATTTGCTGATATTGGTTCCCTCTAACAGATTTTAGGTCACCAAATGTCCATTTATTCAGAAATAATTCCTTTAATTTGCTCCTGATGCATCTTCTTATTTCCTAAAGTATTTCCACTGCATATGAATTGGTAGGAACTACATCATACATAGAATCAGAATAAATGGGTTGCAGCATTGTTCCTGGAACTATTTTCTAGGGTTACTTAAAAGTATGACAGATAGGCTATAGCCTATCTCCATCCATTACTCATCCATTACTCTGAAGACCCCCAGTCCTACTTTGCCTAGCAAGCAGAACTGCAGTAGTCTATGGTGTGTTAGCAATGACATCTAGTGGGCTCCAACAAAAATTACATTTTCCCAAATGCTCTAAAAATCAGTTTAGATCAAATCATTGCTCTCCGGGATGTTCTGACTTTCATATAAATGTATGTTTAAAAGTACAATCAAATATGAATAGTCGAAGATTGAACTTAGTTAGCACTTATGGCTGGTTCTTACTATAGGAGCACGAAGATTTATTTTAAATAGGAGCTTCAGTTTACAGTGCCTGTGCTATGGTAAAAATTCTGAAGGACTCTGTTCAAGAAACACAGGATTCCGCACTTCTCCAAAGTGAGGAAAACACAAACAAAATTTGCTCTTTCATGACAAGCAAAATGACAGGGTAAGACTGACTGATTTCAATGATTATGCTTACACCAACAGTATATATGCTCAAAAGCTATGTGGGCTGGGGTCCCAATCACTGACACAATTGCCACATGTCAGTTCAGACTGGCCTGAAAAGATGTGACAGTTAAACTCAAAACTGTATAAGCTTTGTTCCTCAATATGTTCTTCCCAATGCTCTTAAAATAATCTAAGCTTCCAGCCTCCTATACAGACCTCATGGTGTTCCATTGAGAAGATAAGTTTGATTATTCCTATGCCACTTGTAAAGAGAATGTAGTACCATGTGATAAAGTGACTTTCTTGCAGTCATCAGCAGAGCTGCAAATATATGTCCAGCCACTAAACTGTTATTGCAGAGTAAAAGGAAGAAATCCCAAAACTTTATTTTTTATTTCCCTAGGGGCCAGTTATGGCCTATAGAATTTTCCATAGAATCTTCCTCCAAGTGTAAGATAAACAGCTTCTTCTAAGATACACAGCTGGGGTGTGGGACCAAATTATGATCCTGCCTGGGTATCAAACTAACCTGCTGTGGCTCCAGGAAGTATGACACTAAAAGGACAAAGACCACAAAGAGAGCACATGATTTACCTAGTCCAGTTCCCTGAAATATCAAGACTTTTGCCAATTGACTCTTTTGCCAGTTGCTGCCTGCCGTTGTAGTACAACCCTTGTCGAAGTGTTTAGGGGAAGCACAGCAACAGCTTCCATAAGGACCAGTAAACGACTGCACTAAGTGAAAAGGAGCATTAATTCTCGCTGGGATAGCTGTAGTTTTTGAGCGGAAGCTGCTGTTGAGAACAGCTGTTTTCTGGTTCTGTCAAATCCAGGCCCCAGATTTTTCATGAAAGCCTGATTGTATACAGGCCAGGCAGCTGACACTACTGATTTTATAATCTTTGCCTGGTTATTATCAAGCTAAGCTCACAGTTGTTAACGTTGGCACAGAAGCTATACACTCACACACAAACAAATGCATTTATCTATTCCAGTAGAACAAGTTTTGACTATTAAATAGAGTTATAATTTAACAATGTTCATTTAAAATGACACATTCTTCTCCTTTTATTTTTATATGTCTTTTCACTACATTAATAAAGGTTAAATCAAACTTACCTTCAGATTTTCATGCACATTTATTTTGAAACTCTGGTTCCAGAATTGCTGCTATTCTTCAAAGTATTAGTTGAAGTTCTGAAGAGCTGTGACTGGTAACAAACTGCCAGAAGTCTTCAATTTCTGCTGCTTAACTGTATTATAAAAATTTAGCATAGACAGGGTTTTGGTCCGAATTTAATTTATTTACAATTTATTGAGAAGCAATAAGCAAGCAGCGCTGGGTGCGCAGGGGAGCCTTCACTCCACCAGCAACGCACGCCGAGAGTTCTGGGGTATAGTCTCTTATACTCCTCGGTCTTGGGTTTCAGCCAATCCTGTCGTCTCCTTCACCCAAATACCGACGTGATTCTTTTTCATTGTTCTCCTCCTGTTGCTGGGATCTTATCTTTAGGTGATGAAACTTCTTAAAAAGTCATTGAATTCCTTGGCAATACATTAACAGGGAATGTCTGTCACAAGCTTAACCACTATCTTAGTCCCCTCAATTCCATTTCTTATATAGTTACATATCGAATACACAAGTTTCACCTCATGCCGTAACAGAATGTATCCCCTGATTACCTAACCCCCTTAAGGTATTCAAGCAGTTAAACAAAACACCCTCTGTAGTTAGCAAAGCATCTGAGATATTCAAGTAGTTAAACAAAGTACCCCTTAAAGTAACAAAGACTTTGATTAGGAAGGATTATTCCTTTGTTCCTTCTTTTCTTTCATCATTGTATTTACAGGAACTCCCATCTTAATCTGATCACTCCTATACATTCTACACATGATTTTCCATTCCTCCCAAAGTGCAATGATGACAAGGACTCCTAAGTTTCTGACACGAATCATTCCTATATACCTCACAACTGCATTAAAAGATTACATAAATACATAAAAATTAATAAAACAGTTGTTTTATGCCAGTATATGCTGCAGATAGATAATAATGAATGGGGAATAGTGTAGACACACAGTGACATAAGATGGAACCCATACAACTCAATGTATTATAGAACTAAATACATATGAATTCCAACATAGATGCTACATTATTGGGATTACACATGCTACAAAAATGTGTTTACTAATTTTAATGTGCTTTCACAATGATATAAACTGACTTATGGAGACATTTTGCAGGTTGTTTTTTGTCTTCATTAAATCTTTTACTCCGAAGCCTTTGGTTTAAACACTACTTTTTCATGCAGTCAGAAAGCAGTTCTGGGAGTCAGCTTGGAAGCATTTAAGTTACAAGCTATTATTTTCTCTATAAAAGTATTTTATTCATTCAACTATAAAGCTTTATATTAATATAATTTTGTTTAGTTTGTTTGTAAGCAGAAGTCTTTAAGGATGTGGTCCAACACTGGTTAGCCTCAAGGAAAGAATATTGGAAGCCCTCCCAGTGGATACACTAGATATTGGCATGTGGTAGTCAAAGGATTGTTTTAAAATTCAAATAATTTAAAACAATCTTACATTCCTTAAAATTAAAGTGCACGTTAATGGCAAGGTCAACAAAGATGGATGCTGTCTATCAAGCCATTCCGAACCATACTGAGCTGTGCCAGGCTTACAATATTTCTGGAAATTGACCTTAAAAAATGCTCAAGATTCCACATGTTCAATACTCTGGATTATCATAAAGCTTCTCAAGAAAAGTCTAATGACAAGAAATAAAACCTTAAGATGAATTTCTTCACTGATAAGCCTGACACAGAATCAAAGTCAGCAGAGTTAATAACAGCAACTCTGCTGCAGCATCTAGTCATTCAACCTATAGATCTCAAGCTTCCTACCCTATTTTACAGTGTATTCCAATGTAATACTTCACTGCAAAGCTTTACAGCTACATGACCAAGACTTAGGTAGACAAATATGATGATCTAGAGAGATATAAAAGGCTAAAACTACAGTGATTCTAACCATTGGTCTTACTTGTCTTCCACTTCAAGAAATTGTAATCAGAAATCCTCAAAGCCCTCACTCAACTACCAATTAACAGTATTGAAACTCTTTGCATAAATTCTACTTCTGATTATGGACAGGGATGTTCCAGAATCTGTTTATATCCAATGGTATCATGCTGTAAAAGGTTATTTCTTCTATTAGGATATGTTATAAGCAAGGCTGAAGATCAGGCAGCAGGCAAAGTACGGTGTTCACCATACCTGCTGGTGCACTGGCCACCAACTTTTTTCATAATCATCAGAGATGAGAGGACATGGCATGCTTCAGTTTCTTTTTCAACCTGAGACAATCCTGTAGGTTCTCACATGGCTTACACTTCATCACTTCTACAACTGACCAGCCCTGCTGTCTACCCTACACTTCTAAAGGAAGTTACTGCTCCTCCAGCACAGGTAACAATAGTAAACATGCTGACGCCTCAGCTGTTTGCAGCTGATTTTATCAGACAGAGCTACAGGATCTTTGAATATACCTGCAGAGCTCTCTAGGTCAGTAGCTAGCTTGTAGCTAAGCCCACATGCTAGTGGGCTCTCTTTACCTGAACCAAGTGTATCCCTTTATCCTGAACTCAAAACCCTGACAATACCTCTGGCTCTGAACAGCAGCTGTAGAAATTTCCTGCTAGACCAGGTACTGAAGCTTCCACCAAAGACAGGGCAGACAGCCTGCATGTGGTAATCTCTTCAAATGACTGCAGGAATCTTCAAGGTTCAGCTCTTAACAGCTGAATGTCTGTTCCTTCTAGGATGCAAAAATAACAATAAAAATCTAGTTTCCCCTGAACACTATGTTATAGGCCTACAGGATGTGGACAAAGAGAATTTCAAGAAAGGGAGTAACTCGGAAGTGTTTTAAGAGCAGTGGAATACTGTGGGACTCAAGCATGTAGCTGAAGGTTGTGATCCAACAACAGGATTTATTTTTATGTTATAGGATTAAATAGGGAAAAACGTTCCAAACTGGAGTTTTAGATGAAATTCATAAACATACATTAAAACACATCTTCCTCTTAGATAAGTGTAGCAACTATTAGCCTGAAGAGTTGCTTTCTCCCTCTCACTCACATTCTGACTGCTTAAACTTTCATGAAAAGAGGAAGGATGTAAAAAGTGAGAACTGAAAAAACACATCTGATGCCCCACTTATGCCAAACAGCCCATCTGCTGAAGGCGGAAGTACCATCTACTTCAGGCATTTTCCTAAGAAATAGTACTGTTTTGTTTAGGGCTCCTTAGGAAAGCAGCAATTAGAAGTAGATATTCCAAATCCTACAAGAACATTCTAGCTCACAGGAGCTTAAAGGATGGGAGTCTTCTTCCTCTTCCATCCAGGTTATGCTACAAAGGAGAGGTATCGAGCCATTTTCTGAAGGAAAAAGCGGAGTGTCAAGGCTGTCAGTCAATATAAACACAGAAAGCAACACATCCCGCTCTTGCAGGTGAGGCTCACATGTCATGGGCAGCAACAGGGCTCTTCAGGGAAGAATCGGCAGTATTTTGTCTTGGGAAGAGCTAGACTGTGTTGGTTGCTGTCAATTCCACCCTTATGATACCCCTCTCCCAAGGCATTATTGAGGTACAGACCTTACCTGAGGCGGTGCTTCTGCCTCACGGTCAGGCACTGCTGCTCTCAGTTGTTTGGCATCTCTGTCTTTTTGTGGAACTCCATCAATGGGAACTGCTGATGCTTAGCACCAATGAAAGCTGTGATCTAATTGCATCTGTGTGTCTACATTTAAAATCTTCGATGTTGCTGTCTCTTCATATGTCCTACACTGATATCAGAAGAAATCATAATCAGCTTTTATAGAGCATATAGCACTGAGCATTACAAGAGAGACTTGTAAGATTTTTATACACCAGTAAAACTCATTTTAAGCAATTGAAACTTGCTATATAGTTTTCATATATCCTTGCATCCGCATATTCATTTTCACTTACATCTGCACATAAGTGAGACAATAAAACCTAAAAAAGGTGAAACATATTCGAGCAACGCAAACACATACACACAATAGCTTTCAGGCCTTCTCCTTATCAGTACTAAGGGTACAATGGGAACTTTACACAGCCTGCTTTTGTGTTGGTTTTAATTCCTGGAATATAACCAGCATGTAAGCAATATTGCTTTGATTGTTACAGTTACTTCCTTTTACTGGAATTCCCTTCTTGTCATAATGCCCTAGGATTTCCTCTGACTTTATCAAATTTAGCCAAACAGTACTTATTATTTGGATTATGAGGTAAATAACTGAATGACCAGGATCGTTTTCAAAGTAGGAATATATTAGTTCGTTGACAACGATGCCACATTATAAATGTGGTCTCTAATTGCTAGGCCATGTGAAAGGTCGTGGAATTGTAGACACATAGAATGGTTTTGGTTGGAAAGGACCTTAAGATCATCCAGTTCCAATCCCCTGCCATGGGCAAGGACACCTTGCACTAAACCGTGTCACCGAAGACGTGGCCTGGCTTTGAACACTGCCAGGGATGGAGCATTCACAGCTTCCTTGGGCAATCCATTCCAATGCCCAGCACCCTTACAGGGAAGAGCTTCTGCCTTAGATCTAATCTGAACTTCCCCTGTTTCAGTTTGAACCTCTCACCCCTTGTCCTATTGCTACAGACCCTGATGAAGAGTCCCTCCCCAGCATCCTTGTAGCCCCCCTCAGACACTGGAAGCTGCTCTGCTCTCCATGCAGCTCCTCTTCTTCAGGCAGGCCCATTCTTTTCTTCTTGGGCATTTGCAAATTATCATGAGAGATGTTAAAATAATGGAAATTATTAATATTAGGGACTATTTTCTTCTTCTGATCTGGTCGTTTGCTGGTATCAAGTTCCTAAACTCAACCTATTTTCAAATACTCCCTTTGTGGTGCTTTGGTGCTCTATCACAGTCGTGTCTCAACTCACGTTTATCTAAACAAGCTCTTTTAATAAACACCCTTTTCCTGAACTTATCAACTCTTCTCCTGATGACATTTTCACGCGTGAACACTGTTCTTCATGAAGACAAAGGCTGACTTATAAAACTGGACTCAAGAAATGGGGGCCGAGGGCGGGAGGCTGGACGTTGTCCCCTCAGAGGACACTTGTCAGACGGTTCCAGCCATGGCGGGCACCAACCGCATAAGAGGACTCTGCCTTTTCCGCCCGCCCCTCTAGCCGATCTGCACGGTAAAGGCCGCGGCCTGCTCCACGAAGCCCTTCTTCCCCCTCGGCCGGCGGCAGGTTCACGGGCCCAGCACGGCGCCGACAACGGCATCAGCTCCCTGAAGCGAAAGCGGCCACAGGGCCCTAAGGGGCGGTGGCCCCTCACCCACGAGGCCCCGCCCACCGTCCCCTCACGGGGGGCGGATCGGGCGTCCCCGCCGCTCCACCGGCTGATCCGGGCTCTGCGACAGACGCCGTGGCAGGGGCCAATCGGCGGCGGCGGCGGGCTTGGCACCGCCCCCCGGCGGCTCCCCACAGGGACGGGCCGGAGCGGCCGCCGCCGCCGCCGGTGCCTGGGTTGGGTGAGCGCTCGGTTCCCCGCTGAAGATGAACATCATGGACTTCAATGTGAAGAAACTGGCAGCCGATGCTGGTACCTTCCTGAGCCGCGCCGTGCAGGTACTCCCCGCCCGTCCCTCCGGGGGGCTTACCGGGACTGGGCTTCGCTGCTGCGGCCCTCGCTGGCAGAAGCGGGCGAGGCTCCGCGGGGCCGCCGCGGGACCCAGTGCGGCTTGGGGCGTTGGCCGGGGTGCTCGGCTCCGCCCTGGGCCGGGGGAGCGGCGGTCGGGAGGGGCTGGGCCCAGCTTTGAGGGAGCGCTTGGCCTGGCTGTGCTGGCAAGGGTTGAGCCCGGGGCCCTGGCCTGTCTGGGCAGCGATGTGCTGCTGTCAGCGCCTCATCCTCCAGCCAGCTCCTTCCCCGCGGGTCCCCGATAGTCCTGGGCATGGTGGGACTTCGTCCAGGCCAGTTGCAAAGCCGCTGGCCTCGGGGAAAGGCTGGGGCAGCCCAAGGTCAGGGCAGGCGAGGAGGGGAGAGGGCGCCTGGGCTGAGGGAAGGCGGGGGGACGAGTTGAGCAGGCATCAGCTGCGAGGAGATAGTATAGGGTTTAGTCGTGGAAAGGCCGAAGGTGTGTCTGGCTTGAAATAAGCTGGTGCTAAAAATGTATCCTGCTGTCTGATCGGTAAAATTGGATCTCTGGATGTGACACGTGAAAGTATCTGTCTGCTTAGGCTTTTTGGTTTTGTTTGAGCTTTAGTGTCGTTTTTAAGCTTGTTTGATAGCGTATTGTTTCTGCACCAGGCTTCCCTTTCTCCATGCGAAGGGCACTGTAGTTGGCCTTTGTTCCTTAGCTGTTGTCTTGAGCCGTAATCCCCGTTCTTTATATAATCAAACCTGAACAGATTTCCTGTAGGGAGGTGGGACATCCAAGCAGTGCCTAGTAATGCACTCGGGTTCCTCCCGAGTTCTTGCTGTGTCGAACTGTGCGGTTTGGAATGTGATTAGCATTGTTATCTGGTCTGATCGGCCTGATGTATCGCCCTAAATCTCAATATTCAAGCAGAGCCAATGACCAGTAGCACAGTAGAGCTCTGAAAATGCAAACTCGTCGGAAAACATTGTTGTTCGAATTTAAATGAACTTAAAGCAGTCCTTGTGGCTTCTCTTTGTGATGGAGGTCTTTCTATGCTTCAACCCCGGCCCCCCCCTTCCCGGCTTCTGCCAGGTCTACGTGTTTCCCAGATCCTCTCTTCCAGCTCCCGCCCCTTTCCCTTTTCTTGCTGGACAAGGAGAAAAAGATGTTCACTCTTCCTTGTAAGAGCCTGTGATGGGACCTTGTGATTTCATCCCTTTTATCTTGACTTTTTGCGTTTGAATTGGCTATTGCCTTAAATCTAAGGTTTTTGCAGTCTGACATGGTTTAAAGGTGGTGTGAACTGTGTTTTACTGCAGTGTGCTCTATCTGCATGGTTGGTTTACATCTGCATAGCTACATTGGTTATCTGCTTAACCTAAACTAAAACTCAGGGGAAATGTGGAAGTAATAATTTTGCTCTACCAGCTGCCACTTTCCCCTAAAATGAGAAGTTTAATGAAGCCATGAGCGGGAGGAGCAAATCCCTGACATGCTGTTATAGTCTGAGTAACTCATGTTCTGTATGCTACTGTTGCTTCTTCTGTTTTCCTAAGTAACTATGTAAGGTCTACATAAAATGTTGCTGAATAAGAATTGTGACTTTTAGTTTTGTTTTTTCTTGATAGCACCTGAATGTTAATTTTCTGGCCTCCAGTAAAAATTGTGGATTTGTATGTTGAGTTAAACTCTTATATTCAGGCTTCACTGGATGACATGCTATGTTCTGTCATTAGTTGTTTTGGGATATTGGAAACAGAAATCTCCTACCAAACCCTATAAAACAATCCAACAGCATAAAGTGGTCTGTAGGAAAACCACTTAAAGTCTTCTATTTTAACTTAGAAGAGGGTGAATGCCTTGTTGCTGTTTCACAGGCTTATCAGACTTCTATTTTACAAGGGGACTGGGGCTGTTTTACCCACAACCACCTGATATTCATGTTCCAGGAAACTTCTTCCTTCTGTGGACAAGATTATACTGTGTTGAGACTGTCGTGCTCTATGTAGCAGTCTACAGAAAAATGAAGTTTACTGGCCGTTTTCACCCATAAGCCTACCCTTCCTTCTAGCTGGCAGAAAATGCTTGAGGGAGTCAGTCTTGCAATAGTTGCAGTTTGTGGAACAAAGTAGCAAATGGTTATAGTTAGTGGTATTTGGAGTAAAATAAATAATGCCATAGGGTGTAGTAATAGGAATGTGGGTCCTTCCTGTTGCCAGACTCTGTAACTGACAAGCTGTCTGTGTAGCAGTCAGGAATGAGCTGGGCTTCTTTTATTGTTCAAGACCTCTACCTGAAGTTAGAGGCTTAATTTAATGCAATTTCGCTTCCTAGTAATTTTTCAGTGTAGACTTGAACTGTCAGTTTGGCTGTGATAGCTCAGGTGTATGCAAAACAGTACAAGTTCCTTCTGCATGAGGTGGTCACAGTCAGGCAACTTGTATATATATTTTGAATTTAATAGATGGGTGGATTAGATGGCTTAATGATACAGCTTGTTCCAGCAGGTGCTTACATTAAGTAACTCTGACATATTTTGAACTTCTAGTAAAAAGGAAAACTTTCAGAGCTCTAATCAAAGTAGAAAATAGTATCTGCCTATGTTGAAACAATTCTTCTAAGAAGAAGAAACATGCTTGATTCATAGCACTACTTTCCTACAGAAAAAAAACAGTTCAAATTTGTTTCACGGTAATCAAGATAGGAAATCAAGAGTGGCAGCATTGTTTGCTTTAAGTTGGTGCTGGAAACCATACCCCTATTTACTATTACATACTACTATTTCACATTCTGCTCGGTATTGCTAAAATTAAGTTTTTTCTTTAAGAAATGTATCATTGTGATATGTGAAATCTATCACTGTGATATTCACTAAGCATTCTTCACACTGCTGAAAAGATTTATGGAAGTATTAACAGGAAGCCCCCTTTTTGTGTACAAATACTCTTCTCTGTAATTAGTAAAAAACAATTTCAAGACCATTTATATTGTATTGTAATGAAGCTTTTTGAGAACAGCTTTTAGTACCTGATATCTTTTTAAAGAGTTTTTTAAACAGTAGTAGTAACATGTTCATAAATAAATTCCATTCTTCCCAATACTGCAACTAAACTTTCTCATAAGGGCAGTTTGCTTTTATGTAAAGCTGCAAATGCCACAAGATTTATCTGGACTTCAGGTGAGTATCTTATTGAAGTTGGTTTTATTGTACTTGCGATGGAAATTAAAACAAACTCAGGCAACATAGTTTACGTGTATTCTTGTTTCTTACTGCCCACAAAAGAACTTGTAAAGAATGAAGTTAGTTAAAATGCTTCTGGTCCTATTATGTTCTTAAAGGGCAAGCTTGTTAGAGGTTGAGTCATAAGTCAGGTTCTTCTGAAAATGCCTGACATTGAACAGGCTGTCAAGTGATGAGATCATCATTGTCATGAGGAGCTACTGCTCTGGAAAGCAGCAGGCCAAACCCTCAGTTCCGGTTTTGCTTGGTTCCCTGATCTGAAATTGTGGCTTCCCCCTCGCCCAGAGAACTGGGACTGAAGTATGAGCTGCCTATGGATTGATAAGGTTTGGCATGAGTTTAATATCAAGTGAAATGAATTGTCAGCTTGGAAGTGAACAGCAGAGGTCATCTTACTGTTTCTCTAAGGCGTAACAGGATCAGTTATATCTAAGCAGTTCATTCAACACTGACTTGTATTCTAAAAAGCAAAACACCCCCAGCCTCAAAGATATGTAAATCTCCCAGGGAAGTTTATTTTAGCTTTTAATCCTTGTCTTTAAAAGCTTTCTCTAATGTCTAATTCTAATTTAAATCTTCATGCTGAAGTTTAAACTCACTACCTTTGTCCTGCTTGTTGTGCACAGGACAACTTAAGCACATTAAAAGGTAGCTGCAGTGAGAGTCTGTTGTGTCTTCAGGTTTTACTGTGGGAGAAAGGACAAACTTAGTTACAAAATACAGAATATAGTAATTTAATTGTCTTTGTTACCTTTGCACTTTCTTTCCTTTTGGCTCATGTTTCAAAGTGCACTATGAACAATGGGCAAAATGTCAAGTGAGAGCTCTTACTACCAAGTTAAGCGGAGGATTTCTTCATCATGTTTTAAATTACTGTCCTCATTTTGGTCTCATTAATACCCTCCTGACCCTTTTATTCCTGATAGTAAGAGTGTTGAATTTACCAACTTTCGAATTTATCCTTAGATTTTTATTGATGACCGGATAATGGTTATGTCTTTGAAAACATGATTTGTAACTGAGTGAATAGTTAGTGTCTTAAACTTGTCCTGGGAAATTATTTTTATAACTAACTATTTTCAACCTGATTGACTCATAGTTCACTGAAGAAAAGCTTGGTCAAGCAGAGAAGACTGAACTGGATGCTCACCTGGAGAACCTTCTCTGCAAAGCAGAATGCACCAAACTCTGGACAGAAAAAATAATGAAACAAACAGAAGTCTTACTGCAGCC